CTATTTAATTTTTCCACAGCAAATAGGTAACAAAGAGCTGCTTGTTCTATCCATTGATTTATTTCTGCTTTAGGAAAAGTTCTGAAATGGAAATTGGGAAGAATTGATTTGGGAAGTAAGTATGTAGGGGACTTAGCAATAGAATGCACTCCCCCCGCCCCTGGTTCCCCTTTCTCTGTAACTGCATTACTCTAGCAAAAATGCCTTTGGAAAACTCCCTTTGCTCATTTTTACATTAATCCTAACCTGTAGTTCCACTTTATGTGATAGTTCCATATTGGGTTAAGTGAAATGGACGCAAGTGACATTCTACAGTATGTGTCATCTGAATCATGATGATATTGTGGAAATGACACAGAAGCCCTAGTGTTTGGTGCCTTATTTTATAATACTGTTGTAAAATTTGGATAAGGTAATGGAAATTTCTGTCATTCTATCGGAAGTTCTCCAAATGTAGTTGCTTAGTATGTATAACAAATGACCTAAGGGGAAAGGGCAATATTAGAATAATTTATATCATGGTGAATTAAAATGAATTTGCTTAATCATTTTGTGACCCCCTTAGCCCTTCTTTTCTCTTATAATTCTTCCCTTTATTTTTTTCCTTCAATTTTGTTCTAAATCAAAAGGTGAAGATTAATTTCTGAATTTACAAGAGTTGGAGAATTGAAGGGGTTTAGAAAAAAGATGAAGCAATTGTCAATTCTTTTGTTTTCAATTAGGCCAGACCCAGGAGTGTTTTCTGGGGGGAAAAAAGTAACTGTATTAGGTTAGAAGCAGAGGTGGTATTCAGCAGGTTTTGACCAGTTCTGGAGAACTGGTAATGGAAATTTTGAGTAGTTTGGAGAACTGGTAAATACCACCTTTTACTGGCCCCGCCCCATCTATTCTCTGCCTCCCGAGTCACAGCTGATTGGGAGGAAATGGGGATTTTGCAGTGTCCTTCCCCTGGAGTGGTGAGGGAATGGAGATTTTACAATATCCTTCCTCTGCCACCCCCACCAAACCATGCCATACCCACCAAGCCACACCCACAGAACTGGTAGTAAAAAAAATATTGAATCCTACCACTGGTTAGAAGGCTTTCCAACCTGGCATTTTTTTTAGTGTTGTAACATTCAGAGAACACCATGTTGGTTTGTACGTGTTTGTATATAACACGTTTAATCTACATTGACTCACATCTGTGCATGTAACTTATGTCAGAGAGTTGAGAGGGTAAATTAAGTCAAGAATTTTGCCTTAGAGTTTGCATTTCCTGATAGTAATTATTATGATTTGTTTAGAATGAAGAAGGCAAGAAAAAAACAGTCCCTAATTTTCTTCCCTTTTTGTAGGTGCGATTCAAAGCCAGTTTCTTTGGTCTTAAGCAAAGCAATCAAAGGACAACTTTCTGAGCAGATGTTGTCATATCTTTCTTGCCAAATGTCAGAAAGCCATCTTTCCATGCCTTGCAGCTGACTGCATAAAACGTTATATCAATAGCATAGCACTCCCTCGTCATTAAGGACACTATACTAGAGTTGATGCAGTATTTGCATTGCTTCTGTGGTTTCAGTTGACTATACCTTGCTTTCAAATATGATATTTAGAATAATGATTTATATATTCTGCTTTTGATAAAAAATGAGATGACTTTCCAAATAAAAACCAATTCAACCAACCATTTCACTTAATCATGTAGTTCTCAACATATCTTCTTCTCATTCAAATATATTGGGACCAAAAAGGGATGGAATAGATATCTATGATTATATATGTATGTCTCAGAGGTACACCTATCTCATTTATTGTTACTGAGAAATGTATTCAATTATTATACAATTTTGTAATTACATAATTACAAAGTTAGAACCACAAAACTGCATTATAAAACAAGGCACTGAACAGTAGCATACATTCAGTCAAAAGACCAGGTAAATTAGTGGGTTGTCATCTAGCATAAACAATTAATAAATTCTTGTACCAACTATAATTGGAAGAGAATAGAATTCTGCAATGAGACACAAACATTTTGAACATTCCATTTTTGATTGACATAAAATAGCAAGTGTGTAATTATCACATTGAAGAACAGCTGCAGGAATTGGATATGTGTGGTTTAATGAAAAGGACTACAGGTGACCTGATACCAATGTACCAATATCTCAGGGGCTACCACAAAGAAGAGGGAGTCAAGCTATTCTCCAAAGCACCTTAGGGCTGGACAAGAAGAAATGGGTGGGAACTAATCAAAGAGAGAAGCAACCTAGAACTAAGAAGAAATTTCCTGACATTTAGAACAATTAATCAGTGGAACAACTTGCTTCCAGAAGTTGTGAATGCTCCAACACTGGAAGTTTTTAAGAAGATGGCGGATAACTCTTTGTCTGAAGTGGTGTAGGGTTTCCTGCCTAAGCAGGGGTTGGACTAGAAGATCTCCAAGGTCCCTTCCAACTCTGCTTTTATATTAAATGGCATCCCTCTTTGATCTTCTTTATTGGAAAAGTACATACAGTATCTTCCCATTCATCAGTCTCAGTCTTAAATATGTCCCAAATTATAACCAATGAAAAAAATCAATAGGAAAAGATAGGGAAGGAGAGAAATAGAAAAAAGTCTAGTTGATAAGCATGACTAAATTACCTTTTCAGCAGAATACAGCCCTATTCACTTTCTCTCTTGATGCATCCAACAATTCTGCCACATCTTTCTGATTTTTCTTAAGGTTGTTTCTCTTTCTACATGTCTGCATTCCTTCAAAATGTGTCTTGAAAATTGATTGGAGCAGAATGATATTTCCCTAATGCATTGAGTTTCTAGGCCATGCAGAATGAAGTTCATGTCATATATGCCACAATATTATTTGTGGGCACGCACAATTCTTCTTTTCTCAATGTACTAGTAGCCTTTGTTAGTAACCTTTGCATGATCTTTCTGCCAATGGATATTTGTGATGTTTTAATAATTAGTAATAAAATTTACCTCCATGCTGAGAACAATGATTTCTCAACCCAGCTCCCATGCAATGGCTGCCTGCTAGGAAACAAAAAGGTTAAATCATCTGTTGGTATTTCAGAAATATCAGACAATTCATTATCTTGGCTAGGTCAGGGCATCATTGTAACTAACAAATGATGTCACTTATTGCCTCTGCTTTCCTTGGAAAAACAAATTGTTAAAGGACATCTACATAAGAATGATAGAAAACATCATTTTACTTTCATCTGGAACTGAGTTTTTTAGGACAGGAAGACCCAACTTGAAAAGCAAGCTTTTTATGTCATATTTATTGATTGCAATTTAATGTGCTCTATGGAAATAGACGTTTATTCCATATATAGTATGAATGCATAAATCTAGTTTTTAATTTTAATTAATTTAAACGTATTTAGTTATTATTTATTAATACTTGGCAACAATATTGATTCATTTAAGGTTTGCTTATATTTCACTGTATTCCCAAACATTGAAGATTAGTCTATACTAGATGAGTTGAAACATGAATAAATTACTTAACGAGTGACAAAGTTAACATATTTCATACCAAAGTCAACATATTTCTATTATAACAATGGGTTATGCTTTTTCAGGGTAATTTTTGTTATCTGAAAAAGAATTGTTGTTGAAAACTTGCACATGTCTGCAAAGCTGATTTGATAAATGACCATTACAAGGAGAGATATGCACTTTTGAATTATAAGCAAAGATTGTGTTAGAATGTTGCTTTGGAAAGCCATTACTTGCAAGCAAGCAAGAAGTATTTAAATCAGTGTTTTTAAAACTTGGCAAATTAAAGATGTGTGGACTTTAAATTTTAGCTTGCTGGGAGGTTAAAGCCTAATGACTCTAAAGTTGCCAAGTTTGAAAAATACTGGTTTAAGCCATATATGGCAACTGACTGTATGATCTTTCAAAGTAAATACATATTCAATGGAGCTAAGTTGTTAAATTCATTGACCATATTCAAACTAGGATCTGTTTGTCTTGAAGATGAGCAGAAGTATTTTCTGTCTCAATTTAATTGCAATCATTTATTGTGAAGTTTTATAATCTTTTGGGGGTGGGGAAAGTACAGACAGCCCTCAACGTACAACAGTTCATTTAGTGACCATTCAAAGTTACAACGGCACTGAAAAAAGTGACATGGCCATTTGTCACACTTAAGACCTTTGAAGCATTCCTGTGGCCACATTTGACCAAATTGAGATGTTTGGCAACTGGTTCATACTTATGACCGTTGCAGTGTCCCAAGGTCATATTTTTGCAACCTTCTCACAAACAAAGTCAAGGGGGAAGCCAGATTCACTTAAACAACCATGTTAATTCTGTAACAACTGCAGTGATTCACTTAACAACTGTGACAAGAAAGGTTGTAAGATGGGGCAAAGCTCACTAAACAAATGTCTCACTTAACAACAGAAATTCTGGGCTCAATTGTGGTCGTAAGTCAAGGGCTACCTGAATGTGGAAATAAAACCTACTTGGAAGAATTCTTTAATTCTTTCATTAGATCCATTGACAATATTTTATTAAAATTGTGTACATTTAAAAGTAAACACTGTCTGATATAAAGCTATGTATCAGTACATTTATTAATTGTAAACCACCCAGAGTTACTTAGGAGATGGATGGTGACTAATTTGATTAATAAATAAAAGAGAAAAAAAGAAAGAACAGAGCAGAACTAGTACCAGTATTTCTGGTCTTTCCTGTCTTTTTCAATTATAAATCAGCATTCTAAGCAAGAGTAAGCCAAAAAAGAAAGAAAGAAAGAAAGAAAGAAAGAAAGAAAGAAAGAAAGAAAGAAAGAAAGAAAGAAAGAAGGAAAGAAAGAAATTACTTTGTTTGGGCTAACCTTTAGATCAGGTACACAGGAAGGCCCATGTAGTTATCCGTGTATTGTTCAGCCATTTATTTCAGCTTATCTGATTTTACAACTTATTTTGGGGTTGGACTAAGAACTGTCTTTGGGACATGTTGGAAATAAAATGAATTCATAGTCTTTGTTCTAATTGCAGGGAGGAGAACATTGTTATTATCAAGGTCACATCAGAGGGAATCCAGATTCATTTGTTGCTCTGTCCACCTGCCATGGACTTCAGTAAGTTTCTGTTAAGATTAAAATGAAATGATTAAAATGGAACAAGGTGGTTTTGAAATTTCATTTTCTGCTAAAAACTAAGTCTACTCTACTTCTTTAGAATAGAGATTGGACAGTGTTATGAAAATTGATTGATTAGAATCAATTCATAGTTGGGTTTGATTGCAAATGTTAAATAAATAAAAGTGTTAAATAGATTAGCTCCAAAGTCAAGAAGCTTTGCTTGGCACTGAAAAATCGCTTGGGCTCTCCACTCTGGGACGGAAAATCCTCCATGGCTGAAAATCTTGCTTGGATTTCAGCCTCAGGGGATTTTCAGCTAAGAAGTGAAAGATTTCAGAATTCTTTACACTCTGGTTTAAAAATGCTGAGAATCCTGCTGGGATTTAGGCATGGACGTTTTTCTGCCAGAGACCAGAGAGAATTTTTTTGCTAAGCAGCAGTGACTTTTTAGCTTTCCTTGCATTAATTTTCTGGAGAACTGGCAAGGTAGATTGTAAGTGGCAATCACATTATTTTGCGACACTTGGCAACCAATTGTAAATGTGAACCAGTTTTCAAGCACCTAGATTGCAATTGTGACCAGAGAGATGGTTCAGTGTGCAAAATCTCAGGAAGGGATCATAAGTCTCTTCATTTAGCATCATAATAACTTTAAATGGTTGCTGAACAAATGGTCATAAATCAAGGACCACCCGTATGCTGTTGTGTGAAATCTGTGCTTCAGATCTTATCCCAACTGCAGGCTTATGCAAATTAATAAAAGGAATTTAGGCAAGCCCTTATAGCCTTTTCCTACTCCTATCTAACCAGTAACGCTGGGAACGCTACTCTATTTTGCAATACTGTAATTTTTGAATTAATGTATATTAAAAATTTAATACATTCTAAATGCTAAGGATTATTTACTTGTTTGTTTATATGTCATACAATATGGATTCATATGCTTATATTTCATATGCATATTTCATACTTCATGCTTCAGAATACTCATCCTAGTAAGATATTACTTCTAAGGTCAATTGAGGGATGCTGCTGTTATAAATAGAAGCACTTATCTCAGGATTCTCTGTCATCTTCCAATTTCCCTGAAAGGCTGGCACTTATCTTAGGGGAACTTCATTGATTGATGGCTTAATTCTTTCAGTATCACTTTTCAAAATACATTTAAAAATTATTATATACATATTTTTCAGAATTGAGGATTGTATTTAGTTGCACGTAGGAGTATATGTGTGTGGGTTTTAAATTGTTCATTTTATCTCTTGTCAGATTGGTGTGTGCATGCTCTCTCTCTCTCTCTCTCTCTCTCTCTCTCTCTCTCTCTCTCACACACACACACACACACACACACACACACACACACACACACGTGCGCGTGTGCAAAACAAAGGAATTAATATATAATCATTCATTTTTGGAGACTGCCTGGACATACTCTTGTAGTTTTCCTGGCAAGGTTTTTCAGAAATGATTTGCCATTTCCTCCTTCCTGGGGCTGAGAGAAAGTAACTGACCCAAGGCCACCCAGCTGACTTAATGCCCAAGGCAGAACTAGAACTCACAGGTTGCTAGCCTGATACCTTAACCACGATATGAAACTGGTGATTTCTGTCTGTGTGTCTCCTTCTCTCTTTCTGCACTTGTGCGCACATGCACACAGATACAAACGCTTTTGCAAATTTTTGGCAGATTAACAGAATAACAGAGTTAGAAGGGACTTTGGAGTTCAGTCCAACTCACTGTTCAAGCAAGAAACCATATATCATTTCAGACAAATAGTTATCCAATCTCTTCTTAAAAACTAACACCCACAACTTCTGGAGGCAAGTCATTCCACTGATTAATTGTTCCAACTGTCAAGTTAGTTGTCTTCTTGATTAGTTTCCATCCATTGCTTTTTGTCCTGCCTTCAGGTGATTTGAAGAATAGGTTGACCCATTCTTTTTTTGGGACACTGCTATCATGTCATCCTTTTCATTAAACTAGAACATACCCAATTCCTGAAACTTTTATTTTAGTCTCGAGGCCCCTAATCATCTTTGTTGTTCTTTTCTGCACTCTTTCTAGAATCTCAACATCTTTTTTATATCGTGGCAGCCAAAACGGGATACAGTATTCCTAGTGTGGTCTTAGCAGGGCATTATAAAGTGGTATTAACACTTCGTGTGATCTTGATTCTACCTTGTTAATGCCTAGGACTGCTTTGGCTTCTTTTGGCAGCTGTAATATGCCACTGGCTCATATTTAAGGGAATGTCCACTAGGAGTCCCAAGATCCTTTTTACAATTATTACTATTGAATCATGTACCACTTACACTATACCTATGCATTTGTTTTTTCTTGCCTAAATGTAGAACATTACTTTTCTCACCATTAAATACTATTTTGTTAGTCAATGTTCAAGTCTGTCAAGATCCTTCTGTATCTTGAGTGTGTCTTTTGAAGTATTGCCTACTCTTACCAGCTGGTTATCATCTGCAGCTTTGTTGAGTTCCCATCTATCTCCTCATCCAAATCATTGATGAAAATATTAAAGAGTACTGGACCTAAGACAGAGCCTTGGAGTATCCCACTGCACATTTCCCTCCATGTAGATGCAGTTCCATTAAAGATTACACCTTGAGTGAGGTTGATCAACAGTTACAAATCCATTTGGTGATACTGTCTAACCCATATGTTCTTTCTTATCAAGTATTAAGTTGTGGTCTACTTTATCAAATACCTTGCTTAAGTCCAGGTAAATTAGATTGGCAGCACTTTGCTGGTCCTCTAATTTTGCCACATTGTCAAAGAATGCAGTCTTGCACAATCTGTTTTTGGTAAAGCCATGCTGATTTCTGGTTATGACTTTGTTTGTCTCTAAGTGTTCTCAAATTTGTTGCTTGATTATTTTCCCAGTATTTTCTCAGGTATTGATGTCAGGCTGCACACTAGGTTCATGTCTTACAACTGAGTATCATCCTAAAATAGTACTTTAAATGCAGGTCTTTTAGGTTTTGGCTGCATGATCTTCTTTTATAGTAAAGTTTTAGTTCTTTAGTTCTCTTCCTAATGATCTGTCATTCTATCTGTCCCATTTCTGGTCCCTATTCCTTTTCAGTAATTTAAAGAATCAGTAAAGTAGAATGCTAGCTTTATTTTTTCCCATGCTTCATGTTGCATTCATGCTAATGATAAAAACTCAAGACTAATCAATTTGGGAATATTTTAGGCAGTATACCACAAATGCAAGCAAAACCCAGTTTTATCCTGAGGTATTCTGTGCAAGCCAGACTCTCTAATGTGAAGATGACCTTACTAGTTAGCCTTTTGTTCAGAAGAGAGTTAATGACTTGAGAAGAAGTAGAAGATTGAGAATACGTTATTGGAGTTGTTGAAAAATATTATAATGAGTAATTTGAAAGCCAAATGCATAACTTAAACTAGATTAAAAGCAAATATTATTTGCAAGGATATAAAGTTAGGAAGAAATATAATGAATACTATGTTTATGGAGATTCTCAGTCATCCAGGTCATGGTTGTCCAAAGATTCTTTTTCAAGACTTTCTGGTTTTTCTTTGATGATGTTTCGCTTCTCCTGTGTGCTGCTTGGAGAGTCCAAGCATAGGTTAATTATGTCTGCCCTGGACTGAATTGAAGATCTTTAGCCATGCCTCCTGTGCTGGCACCTCAGATTTTTCAATTCAGTCTAAGCCCAGTGGATGTGTTACAACGTGGTTCCTACAAAAATCCTTGATTGGACTCTCCAACTAGCTTTCATCCGAATTTATTGCAGTATACAGGTCGGTGAGCATTTTTTGGAAACATTTTCTCTGTCAGATGCATCAATCTGCAAGCTGATATGTCCTGGGCTTCGGTCGGGCATGTGCCAGCTTCTTCAGCTGTTACTGGATGGTGGGGAATGGAAGGATTTAAACTCTTTGCAGACACTGGTCATTTACATTGTTTTAGTGGGTCATTAAGATCACCTGGCAGGTTATCTGTGTCATCAGCGTCACCTGAGTGGTGCAGATTGGTGTGGAGCCTTTTTGGAACTGTTGAAAGGACTGTTGTAGACTGAAAATAGATGACGTCATATCCCTCCTCCTCTGTTAAGAGAGATCTGTTCAGTTTTGACATAGATGGTTTCTTTGACCCCCTCAGCCAACATAACATACATGCATACTTCAAACCCAAGAAAACAGTAAGGCAGAAGCTTATCCACCCCAAGGATAAAACACAAACTGAGCAATGTGGTATAAACAGTACAATGCAGTGAATCATGTGCAGATCTGTACATTAGGGAAACAAAAAAACCAATTACTTTATAAACACATGGCACAACATAGGAGAACAAACCCATCAGGACTAGATTCAGCAGTCCATCTGCATTTAAAAGACAAATGCCACTCTTTTAAATACAGCAAAGTCCACATTTTGGACACAGAGGATCGCTGGTTTGAAAAAGGGGTCAAAGAGGCCATCTATGTCAAAATTAAACAGCTTTCTCTCAACAGAGAGGGGGGCAGATACGACATTATCTCCAGTCTACAACAGAGGCTTTTCAACAGTTCTAAAAAGGCTCCACACCCATTTGGATGAGAAGTGAAACGTCTTCAAAGAAAACCAGAAAGTCCAGTTGCCTCTGGAAAAAACACCTTTGGGATAAAGAATGCTGTGGTGTAAAATAGATTTAGCTCAATTTCCTTTTAATTTCTGTTTATCTTCTGACTTTTGTTCTTTTGCTTATTATTTATCCTATCTATGTTTTGTATAAAGTTTGTTATCCTGAAAGGAAATAAAGACATCGATATACATGTATGTATGCAATGACAATTTATGTACAATCTTTAAAAAACAATTGCAGTGACAATTTATGTACAATCTTTATAAATCCGTAACAACAGCAAAAGCAAAATTTCAAAAGATAATGAAAACTGAAAATTTCTGCCTGTCCATCTAATACACTCATATAAATGTGATTAATTAAATGCTGAGTAAGTAGAAAAAATGTACTAAACAACTGTCGCTAGGAAAAATCAAGGAGAGGAATTAAAACTCAGTTTTTAACGATGATCAGAAATCAGTAATTAATTTAACCAGGTAGTACAAATAATATATTCATATTAAACACTAAGTACATGCAAATGAAGAGGAATCTGCCTAAAAGGATCCTTGATGAAAATATGCATTGATTTCAAAAGAAAAAAATATTACTACTGTACAAACAGATATTGATTGTTTTAAGTAAAAATCGTAGTCTCTGGGGAATAGATGAGTAGCTAGTTATTTCTTAGTTCATCCCACTGATAATGCAGTATATAAACCTGCCATAGTCTAATGCATAACATACATTATTTAATCAGCTTGCCAGTTATACATGCAAGGTCAGAATCCAAGTATTAAAAATACTTGGCCAAGAGAGATTCAGTTCCTTGAAGGATCTACAGTAAATGCAAAAGAGGACATAGCTAGGGAGGCAATTATGTGCAGTGCTGTATCCTGTAACATATTTTATCTGTTCAGAAAAATAGATGCTATATAAATAAACTTTCTAAATTGATTTTGATTTTCAGCTCTTTCTTCAAAAAGTTGTTGATCTGTAGAATACAATAGCGTAGTTATATTTTTTCCTTATTTTCCCTTTTTTAAGTTTCTGAAATTTTAGAGTGTAGATCTTCTAAATCTAAAATTTGTGTAATTCCACTTCTTTGTTTGTATTGAACTTTTCAAGAAATAACTGCAGTGAAATGAGAATAACATTATATATGGAATAAAAGCAACTGTATGTGAGATTAAAGTGATAGTACTTATTCACAATATAACTTATTGTTGTAAGAGGGACTGCCTCATGAATACTTTTCTAATTCTGTCATTCCACTGAACTTGTACACGCAAATCTGAACACCTTCCTGAGATCAGATGTTGTCCTCCAGGTTGCCCTTACAACTCTACGGGTATTTCTCAATTTATGACCACTCATTCAGTGACTGTTCAAACATGTGATTATACATAATAAGTGGCACAACTGTATCTCAAAGTCATGGCTGTTGCAGTGTCTCTATGGTCATGTGATCACCATTTATGACCTTCTTTGTATCCAGCAAGCAAAAGGAATTGGGAAGTTGACAGGAGGTTGCAAATGGTAACCTTATGATGTCCTCACTTAATGACCCATGATGATTCATTTAGCAATGGAAACCAGGTCAAATTGTCTTCATTAAGCGGTGCGGTCACATGATATCTTGCTTTATTATTACATTGTTTAGTGATGGCAGTTGTAGTCCCAATTGCCATTGTAAACCAAGAACTATCTGTAGTTTCTTTTTTTATTTGTAGCCTGACCTGCTTTGAATAGCCAAACAGGGAGCTGAACCTCTTTCTTGTTATGCAGGAAACATTTGGCTTTCCAGTATTCAGAGATATTGATGCTTAGAGAGCACAAAAACTGAAAAAGGATAGAACTATTATGCTTTTTTTAACTCCTACCACCAGCATAGATCTTTGATAGTACAAAAAATGTAAATCAGAGGGACCTGACAGATAACAACCCAGAGTTCTGAAGGAGCTGGCAGATGTTATTCAAAACCATTGTACCATATCTTTCAAAAATCCTGGAGCACTGGGGCACTATTTGAGGATTGGTATTTCCACCTTAAAAAAAAAGGAGTGGGAAACACGAAACTACAGACTAATCAGCATAATATCAATATTTAGGAAGATACTGGGAAAGATAATCAAAAAACAGATCTGCGAACATCTAGAAACAAGTAAAGTTATAACTAGAAGCCGGAATGAGTTTGTTAAATACAGATCATGCACAATCTTATTTTAGTCTTTGACAAACTGACTAAATTAATAGACCAGTGAAATGATTGGGAGATAGTATACTTAGATTTCAGTAAAGCACTTGACAAAGTGGACCACAGTCTACTTTTTAGTAAGCTAGAAAAATGTGGGTTAGACAGCATCACCATCAGATGGATTTGTAATTGGCTGACAAATTGTGCTCAAGGAGTAGTTCTTAATGGTACTGCATCTACATGAAGGGAAGTAAGCAGTGGTATACAACAAGGTTCTATCTTATGCCCATTACTCTTCAATATCTTCATAAATGACCTAGATCAGGGAATAGAAGGAGAACTCATCAAATTTTCAGACAACACTAACCTGGCAATAGGAGTAGCCAACACTCCAGAGGATAAACTCGGGATCCTAAAAGATCTTGACAGACTTGAAAAATGGCCCCTATCCAACAAAAGAAAATTTAATGGGGAGACAAGCAAGGTTTTACACTTAGGCAGGAAAAGCCAAAAGTACAAGTACAGATTAGCGAAATTATGGCTCAAAAGCATTAAGTGGGAGAGGGACCTTGGAGTGCTAGTGGATGATCATTTACATATGAGCCAGCAATGTGTGGCAGCAACCAAAAAAACCTAATACAATCCTGTGTTGTACAAACAGAGGCATAGAATTAAAATCACTTGAAGTATCAGTACCACTTTATAAAACCTTAGTAAGAGCACACCTGGAACACTGCATCCAGTTTTGGACACTACATTACAAAAAGGTGCTGACACTTTGGAAAGAGTGCAGAGAAGAACAACTAGGATGATTAAAGGCCTGAAGACTAAAACATATGAAGAAAGCATCAAAGTATAGGGAAAAAAACAATGGATGGAAACTAATCAAGGAGAGAGACAACCTGGAATTAAGAAAAAACTTACTAATAGTGAGAACAATTAACCAATGGAACAGTTTGCCTTTATCAATGGAGATTTTTAAGAAAAGACTTGTTTTGTCTCAAATTGTATAGGGCCATGATGGTGAATCAATGGCACATATGCCTGAAGTGGCACATGGAGCCATGTTGCCTGGCATGTGCAGGGTCTCCCATTGCTCTTCTGGGTTTATGGTGCACATGGGTGCGCAATGATCAGCTGGTCTTTGTGCGTGCGGCAGTGCGGGAAACTAGAAGAGCTGATCCTCCATTTTCCAGTGTGAGCATGCGCGATGCGCGATGGCCAGCTGATCGTAGCTTGCACATGCATGTCAGTGACCAAAAGAGTAGCTTGTATGCACTGAAAACTGGAAGTTCATTTTCCGCCGTATACATACCCACTGGGTAGCTCCTCTTCTGGGTTGTGTCAAAGACGAGCATGTGTGCACATGTTCCCTTTTCGGCACTCAGTGCCAAAGAGGTTCACCATCCCCGGTATAGGTTATCCTGCTTGAGCAGGGGATTGGTTTGCAAGACCTTCAATATCCCTTCCAGCTGTATTCTGATTACATTAAAAAATATAGGAATTCTGGGGACAGAATATCTCTTGCAAATTGCAAGCTGGTCTCTGCTGGAACACAGACAATTCGGGAGAGCTTAACCCTCTAAAATAATTGGCTCCATTGTCATTTTTAAAAAAATCCATCAGTGGGTAAATATAATCCTAAAATTTAACTACAGTGGATTTACTAACCATTGTTACCATATGTGGGATAACTGCATGAACTGATTTGATAGCACTGTGTAGAAATTTGAACTGAAAGATATGCTATTATTATTTTTAAAATGGCACTCTATATTAAAGGCAAATCCTTTAGAAACAAAGGTTTAGTGCAAGAATTCTCAAATGCAACCTCTAGTATGTAACAATATATTTTCTGTATACTGTCCTTCTGTACAATATAGAGAAAGTATATTGTTGTCTCATTTGCATACAGTGCTAAAGATTAGTTCCCAAATCATTGGCATCGTGTTTTGTAGATTTGCAATAGGTATTGACTTTCAATAGGCTCACAGACTTGAGAACTACAGATAGTTACAAATAAACATTTCTTGAAATTGTTGTAGTTAATAAGCATGTATTTAAAGCAAGATCCTAACTATCCTAAAATAAATACTGTAAGACATTTTTATCAGCTGGCAATTTTTACTGCCCACTGGTGGCAAAGCATAAGTGCTGCCACTGCCAGTATAAAGAACTAAAACTAAAAATTACTATGGTCAATAAATAATAGTTTCATATGATTTTTTTTCTGTGCTGTGAAGAATTCTGCAACAGGTGTATTATATAATAGCATGGAAGGTAGTAAATAGTTGTGCTGTTCATAAGAGGAGAAGAGAGGAAATTCCTCAGGATTTATCTCAGGAAACAACTAAAATTAACCTCACAAGCTAGTTGGAGGATTAAAAATTTACGGGGCAATAATAGCCCATTTCTACATGAGATTCTCTTTTGCATGTAGTATTATTTTATGTTTACTTGTTAAATTATAACACGCAAGTCAGAGAGCTGCCTTTTTTTTAACAGTGGAATGTTCTATGATGGGAATCACACATATCTTATTGAGCCAGAAGAAAATTGTACATCTCAAGTAAGTACTGTAGAATTAAAATACAATTATCCTCAGATTATTCTTTAAAAAATTAATATATGACTTGCACTTCTTATATAGATTCTAGTTGTAAGAATTCAGAAATAAAAATGAGTTTAGAAAGATATTCTTTAATGTATATATTTGCATATATGTATATAAGTATGCAAGTGTGTGTATGTGAATTGGTGCTTATATGTGTCTATATGCATATATCCAGAATACTATGATCTGCAATTTCCTGGGTATAAAAATGCATAGATCTAGCTAAAGTATCAGCCTTAGAATGATTTACTAAATTTAGATGTCTTTTATTTTAGGAGGAATTCCATTTACACTCTGTATACAAATCCAGATTATTTGAATTTCCTTTGGATTATCTTCCATCTGGTATATTTTTAATACTCTTATTGTTGCATTTATTTTGTAGTTAAATCATTGCTGGTTATTTTTATTCTGTTGTTGTTAATATTATAAAAGCCTCTCTGAACACAGGATTAGAAAACAACACATTTTCCAAAAAAGATTTGAAGACTTTTGATATTGCAATAGTAATTCAATGATTGGCTTTCAAAAGAAGAGTCTTTATAGGTCAAAAGAGACTAACCTGTTATACATACAAAGCTAACCTGTTAGAAAACAGTTCCTGTCCAAATGCTGAACATTTCAAGAGAATATTTTTGGTTCCATAAGATTTTAATCCGTTCTAACAGAACTTTCAATTTATGAAAACGAGACTCCCCTTCCCTCCACAAAACTAATTTATAATAAGCAAGTCTTATGTTTACTTCACCTTTCTCTATTCCAGTTTTCTTAAAGACAGAACATGGGAAAACTGGAACCAACCTTTTTTTTTTTTTTTGAGAGGCTCTCCATGAGAGTTAGAACCCTTGGGAATCAGGATTCTAAGTTGCATCGAGAGTATGTGGCATGTGTGCATGCATGTGTGGAAGCAAATTTGTTACAGATGAATTTCCTGTTATTGATTTTTAAATGCCTGAAAAAGGTTAATGTCAAGATTTGACCAATGTTGTGGCTTCATATAGTTTGTCATGTTTTAGAGTATCATTTGATATCACCACTATATAGATCATGTGCTTATTAAACAGCATTTTCATTGTCTTGTAAATGCCTGATGATTACATTTTAGCTTGAATTTTCATAACTTCTTTTTTAATACCCTGTTTATATGTAAAAAGTCTCATTTGTTAATGAAAAAAATGCCTTTCCAAGGCTAATATCTGCGTCCAAGAATACCTTATGCAAGAAACTATTCTGAGTGTTTATATTTCCTTTATGTTTATTTCCTTTCCTTATTGTTCGCTTTAATTTAATTTGAAGTTTTTCAGTGTACCTTAAAAACTATTTTGTTTCAGCTTTCATCACTCTATAACCCACTTGTCAAATTCATGAACTTGTTACAAAGCAGGTTTTTTTTTAAAATAAAAATGCCAGCCTTTGCACTGATGAATTTCCAATATCTTGTTTTTGTGGCAGTAGATAATATGACTATGTCTAGTATTTTCTTGAGTTCTGAGTAATTCTTAAAATATTTAAAATAGGTATTTATTCAACCTTGTGCTTTATTTATTTTGCTTCTAAAAGTGCTTGTCTTAAGCAAGACAAGCTGTCATTAAACTGACTGTAATGTGTGTCCCATTCAGAATTCTGGCACATGAATACTACATCACAGAAATTTGGTGTGAAATCAAGATATAAAAGAAGAAAAAGGCAGGTATGCCCTCCTATCCTGTTATTTATTTTCGCAATCTTTTACAAAAAAAATATCATTCAGCCTTCCTTTTTCAGGAAATTCAAGGCAGATGATTTTGCCTGCTTCCTCATGTCTCCATTATAAGCCCCCTTTTTCATGCTGAGAACATCCAACAGTGTTCTTTGATAATAGATATCAATCTAAAAAGAATAGTCTCATCAGAGACTGGGAGGAAAGCAAATGTCTCCTTTCATTTTGCCGATTGCAAAACCAAACAAAAAATGATTTTCTATAGCATGACTGTTTAAGACAATCAAATTGAATCTTTGTTATTTAAAAATTGCTCTTAGTGGGTGTAATTGACACATCTCTTCAATATCAAGCATTTTATCTTCATTTTGATGAGTGAGTGTTAATATTACTTGCATTTGACTAAGCTGTAGGTCTACAATCTGACCAGGGAATGGGTGTCACCATACAATTTCACCTGTTATTTATTGCAGGAGCTAAAATATAAAGAAATAATATATATTAAGAAAGATAAATGCCCAAAGTGTTAAGAACAGAGAAATTTCAAGGTTGACTGTTTTATGAGATTTTGAACATTTGCATTTTAAAAAAGAAATAGAAAAGGAAATGAATATCAATTCATACTACTTGCCTGAACATTGAACCAAACATAGAATATTCTTAGGTATCCCTATGCCCTGCATTTGCGGGTAGCATTCTGGGCATTATTGATAAAGTATATAAAACCTGTGAAAAAATAACATCACACAGAATAGACATGTTGTGATGTATATTTTTAATATAAAAAAAGCACAAATATAAACATCAGCCATTAATAAAACATATGGCTTTGAAGATATTTAATACATAGAGGAATTCACTAATGAAGCTAAAGGCTATAGGAATTCCTTTAAAAGGATGGAATCTTATCAAACCGTATTTTGAAAATTGCTTATTAAATTTATTTATTAAATCTATATGCTGCCCATTTAAGTCCAGTACTGGTCAATATAACAATATAAAATTATCTCTTATATTTCTTCTAAGCTTACATTAGAACTAGATTGCTTAATTTTCTGTCATTCAAATGTTAGACATCCTGATATATTTTTTTTCTAATTGGATATCATGAATTAGTTTTAAGTGCAACGAAGGAAAGAAATCAGCTCAGAATAATTAGTCTAGAAACCAGGTGTTTGTTGCTGACCTTTTTAAATATATACAGCATCTTCCTCTTTCTGTAGGTCCAACTGAATCTACCTAGAGTTGAAGATGAAACAAAATATGTCGAGCTAATGATTGTAAACGATCATCTAATGGTGAGGTTTTACATACAAGGCTTTTTAAAAGTTATCAATAATGCATGCATAGCTTTGTGTCTATAATAGATTCAACAATAATGTACCTATTGCAAAATGATTCTAATCATTCCACTGAAGTCGGGCTGTCTGGAACTGTGCTGGAAGTCACTCAACAAGACATCTAAGAGCAGAGATTAGATTGGTAATTACAACAGAACTTGGCTTTTTTTTTTTTTTTTTTACAGAATATAACATTTTTTTTCCTGAATAATTTTCCTGAAGACCATATTTAGCTTTGTAATTCATTCACAGATTTTAAAGAGCTATTTATATTAACTATTGAGTGGTTGGATTACCTCTCTCTGGAGATAGAAGTTGGATAGCTTTCTATTGAAGACCCTCTGTATATTTGTTGCATCACACTGGAGATTGGAAATACCTTTTTCATCTTTAGTTGTGATTATATTCTCTCTAATATAGTGGGACCTCTAGTCATGACCGTAATCTGTTCCAGGACTTCCTTCGGCACTCGATTTAGTTGTGACCAGAAGCAAGACTGACCGCACATGCACATGCACATGCACGTGCACAAACACACACACACACACACACACACACACACACACACACACACACAAGGCGCAGAAGGAAAAATTGTTGCAGCTGTGTTTGATCACCACCCAAGGATGTGTTCATGAACAGAGTGAAACATTTAGTGGATTTTTTGGTTGGCATCCGGTTTGGTCATGGTCAGAACCGTTCATGACCTCAGATCCCACGGTAGTATAGTATCTACACCAAACATAAACAATCTTTTTAGTCAGTAAATAAATTTGGAATTTTACATACATGCAGAGATCCTTTTGTAAACACTTCTAATGGGAAGATATTTGCTTGTTCATAAACTGTCTTCCATAATGGAACTAGACTCAAAACATCTGTTTATCTGTTCTGTATTATCCTATGATGCTATCTTTGGATTTTTCTGGTCATGGGATCATATTTATGCAAAACACTAGGCAGCAATTATCGAAATCTAAAGATGTCTGGGATGTTTGTGTGAGGTCAGAAACATTCATGGAAAAGCAGATTTTGTTAGAAGGGGGGAACTTTGTTTTACGGCATACCACCTTCTTAAAAAATTAGTCTGGATCAGGGAGCTTAGCTATTGAAAAAAAAATCTGAAATATATACATTACACTGTGACTTTGCAAAACTGATTTAGCTACATTTTGGGCATGGATTTTTCTTAAAACTGCTGGTGATTAGAAAATTTTTTTAGCGAATCAAACCTAATGCCAATATATTTATTTCAGGAGCAAGAATGACTTTAAGCAATATTGAGTCAGCAAATCTTTCTGTAGCCATTCTGTTGGAATTACGGATGCTTGAACAAAGATACAGTATGTCATGGTATAGGCTGAAGTGGAATGGATCATGCCCTCTATCATGCCATGAATGTATAGGTTGGCTTTTTAAATCAAACTTTATATTTCTTTGCAAGGATTCCCTTTATGTTTGGCCTACATATGCATTATTATTTTTTCTTATACTATATACAAGCAAATCTAGAGATAAATCTTTTTACAAGTCAGAAGGTATTTCTCCCCCTCCTCCCGTTCCAGATTTTTTAAAATGGAATTTCCATTACAGTGGAATCGTAATTCCTCATTTAGGCTCTAAGTAAACGGGGGAGGGGATCTCATTTAAACCATTATATCAGGTGTCTCTTAGAAGAAGAAGAGGTTATTGATTGTTTTCTTGCTTCTTCAAGGAATAGGAAAGAAAGTAGCTGTATTTTATTGGGTGTCACATGAGACTCTTCGATTGCCCTTATGTTTATACAGCTATCCATACTTGCGATTGCCAAGCAGAGAAAGGTGTACGTATGTGTAAAAATGATTTTGGTCATTATTGCCAAAAGCTGAATTTAATTCCAATTCTTGTTCTGAATCTTCAGTTCAGCTATTTATAAAGTATTGAAATATACTGAAATAGGAATAAGCAGAACAGCCATTAATCAAAGTAGTGATCTTTGTGTAATCTCACTATAATCCTCAAAATATATGGAAAATAAAGTAACTAATAGTAGTATCTTATATATGTCTGTTTAATAATAAACTGGATCCTTGTACTACTTGGAGAACCCTGAAGAGGTTGAGAGTTGGAGCTGCTAAGTATAAAGCCAATGTTCTGAAGTGGAGGTTCTTAGCACATAACAACACACTGTGTGAATATGGAGACACACAGAGTCCAACCCATCTGCTGGTATGTTGGGTAATATCAGAAACAGATACCAATAATGGCTTATTTTTGGTCAATAACAAAGTCAAAAAGCTGGCTTTATTCTGGCAGTTTATAGTTTGATGTAGACAGGGAAGAAGAGGAAGAGGAGGAGGAGGAGGAGGAGGAGAAGAAGAAGAAGAAGAAGAAGAAGAAGAAGAAGAAGAAGAAGAAGAAGAAGAAGAAGAAGAAGAAGAAGAAACTTATTCTCAACTATATGTGTCCTAATAACATCTGTTAGATTACATATAGTCCTTTACTTTCAACCATTTGTTTAATGACTGTTCAAAGTTACAATAGCTTTGAAAAAAAATGATTTGGGACCACTTTTCACACTTACGACCATTGCAGGATCCCCACAGTCACATGATCAAATTTTGGGTACTTAGCAACTGGCATTTATTTATGATAATTGGAGTGTTTGAGGATCCTGGGACTCTCATTTGCAACCTTTCTAGGGAACAATGGATGAAAAAAATCAATGGGGGAAAGCCAGATTTGCTTAATGACCACAAGATTCACTTAACAACTCTAGTGATTCACTTAACAACT